AAGAGTTGAACGCTTAACCGACTGAACCACCCAGGCGCCCTCCTCCCCTTTTTTAAGATTTTTATTTAAGCAGTCTCTACACCCAATGTGAGGCTCAAACTCACAACTCTGAGATCAAGAGTCACATGCTTTAACGACAGAGCCATCTGGGTGCCTCATCATGTAGCTCTTGACTTTGCATGTCAAGATTTTGACTTTGTTCCTTCCATCTAGAATGCCCTTCCCTCTTTCTCCCCCTGGAAAACACTCATTGATCCTTTGAGACTGAGGCCAAGTGGTCTCTAATAGTTACCTTTTTTTGGCCACTCGCAGCCTTTGGGGGCAAAGTAGTAGCTCCAAGCTGTGGAATAGTTAACTGTGTGTACACTGCTGTTCTAGGGCTTTCTCCTTTGGTTCTGTGCCTGTCTGCTTCCAGCACTAGTGTGCGAACTTGTGGGGATGATACAGTGTTTAGTTTACGTCTCCAAGTAGAAATAAAATGCGGCTGACATGAATCCTAGGAGTTATAGGTCTTTAAAACATGGTAAGATGATAAAAATATACAGAGTCAGAAATCAGCTCGGGTGGTCATGGTGGCCACGTTGGCCTAAGGAGATAATGAGTGATTATTTTTTCAGATTCTGTCTTTTCCAGATTTTAGGTACAACTGTTGTTGTTGTTACTTTTGTGAAGCAAAAGAAAGAAAAATTCCTATGACATGTTGCAAAAGACATCCTAGACCTTGCCCGTCAAAACAGTTGTTTCACCTTTCCCAGTTGTCCTTGGAGCAGCAGGGTTCGTATTCCAATTTCACTGCCCAGCTTCTATCCATTTTTGAAATTCCTATGATCCCACTGGGAGCCTCCCACCTATCCTCCAGGGTGGAGAATGTTCGGTTGAAAAGGTACTTAATTTTTTGAAGGAGCCAGATGACATCCAGAGCAAAGTCTAAGGAACGAGGTGGGTAGCCAGGCTGGCTGGCGTCCTGTGGAGTCTCCACACTCCAAAGTGTGGCAGGCATGTCCTGAGACATTTCCTGGGTGTCACAGGAGTCCCTCCTCAGACTCTTAAACACATAATCTCAGGGAATAAGATGGAAGATGCTCCCAAAACAATACTCCAGAACGTTCTGAAACAACTTTCTGTCTAAAAGGAATTTGAGCAAAGCATCCTTGCTATAAGCAGATACATCCCTCAGGTGACCTCCTTGAGGGGCTCCTCTTATTTATGGACGTAAATTCATACTTGTTAAAGCAGTAGTGCACGTGACCACCGGTGCTGGATGGTTTACCTCTGGACTCGGCACTCTCGCTTACTAGTTCTCTGAGCCAGGTGTCCTCTAACCTCCCCATGCCACGGTTTCCTTTTTGTAAAATGAGGAGAGCTAATTTTTATACTTCATGGGGTTGTTGTGAGGTTTGAATGAGGTGATAACTGTTAGGTGCTTTTCAAAGCGCCTTGAATGTCCCATCATTTCGCAAATTCTAAGATGCTCATTTCTCACATTTTGAGCACTTCTAAAAGGAAGCTATGTCTTACAATAATTAGTGTTTGAGGAGCATTTTTCTGGCCATTTAATGAACAACATCTTCCTCAGTCGGTGATCCTTAAAATAGTGGTGTACCATAGAGTAGATGCTGTTTCTACCTCAATAGCTGATAGTAGTAAGAGCTCGATAAATGCCAGCTGTCATCTGCATGGTCGTCCGTGGTGTCCCCGTCATCATTATCTGGACTCTACCCAAGGCAGTGACATTTGGGTGGTTGGCAGTGCCAGCCTAGATTATATATCAGATCTCAGTTTCATCTGTTTGTTTTCATAACTGCATCCTTTGAATAAGACTTAGCAAGCTGCTCTTCACATTTGTTCCATAGTAAGCTCATGATGTAAAGTATTTATGGGGCAAATTCATGCAGTGTCTGTATTATTCTCTGCACTATACTAGGGAACTACTAAAATGTTCTCCAGATTAGTCTCTTGAAATAAACAGAGAAGACAAATTCTTTAGTTTCTGTATTGATGTATTTTCCCAAAGCCTTTCAAAGAAGTGCTTTTTCTTAGTGAGCAGAACTAAGCCACCATTGTACCACTGAAGATTTACTGTTTGCAGTCTTCTCTGGCGAAGAAAAGAAGCAGTTTATTGATCTGTAACAGAGAATGGATCGTGGCCAAACCTTTTCTGGTTTATATAATGCCCTGACATAAGTATCTGCATATCATTAGGAAGACTAAGTCCTCATGGTTTAAGGCCACTTGTCAGGCAAGAGCAATAACTGGGAAAAATCAATACACAGTATAAAGCCATCGTTTTTATGCAGACGCCACCAGGATCCACGCCCAGCGACAGCCGTGTCATGTTATCATACCAGTGGCATGTTTGTAGTTCCTCATTTGGGGCTTCCTCCTCATTTGGAGGTTATTGTTCAGTTGGAGGGAGGGTGGGAGAGCCAGTTTGGATCTAGCATAAAAATCCTCTGCCAGGTGAAGGAGGTTCACCAACAGGAGAGGAACGTTGGACCGAAGCGTAATGAAGCTTGACTCCCAAGATTCTGGGCACATCTCCATCCGAATACCTTGACACATACTTCACGCACCCATAACACACACAGCCTGTTTCTTCTTGCCTTCCGTTTGCCCTCAAGAGTTTAAGTGGAGGTATTTACAAGCCATTATGAAGCAAGAGCACTAGCACATAGGTCTAGAAGGGAGCCAGGAATCAAGGTTTTTGCTTAGGTCTTGTTTTTGTTGGCTTTTAAAAGTGTAATTAGTTGAAGAATTTCAGAAGCTGGGCTTCTCTTCTCTGCTCCCTCATCCCCCTGCTACCTCTCCTCCTCCTCCTCCTGCCCTCCCAGTCCCTATTTTAATTTAATCCCTAAAGCCCACCATTTGATTGAGCGAGGTTTGCCTGCACAGAGGTGACTGCTTCCCAAACTCAGTGCCCTGGACCTGAGCCAGTGCCTGTTTCGGACAGAATGTCATGTGACTGCCACATGGAAAGAAGCAAGCCGTCCTGTCCTCCTGCTGTGCTGCCAGGCCGAAAATGGGGACCAGCAGGGAGCCCTGAGGCCTGATGTGGGAGGCCGAGAATCAGGTCCCTGCGGGTGGGCTTGGTGGTTGTCACCAGAGCTGGAGACGCCACCGAGCCAGGGAACAGTGTGTTAGCTGTGAGCTCCAGTGCAAACCCATTCGGGCAGCGAAGAAAAATTCACTGGCTCTACAGCAAGACATGCTCAGCCTGTGTGACCACAGGGATCAGCCATCTCTTCCTCTGATTGACTAGTATTTCTCACCTCTTACCATCTCCATGACTGTGGCCTGGTAGTTTCCCTTTTGTGTAGCATTTCAAAAATACTCTTTTCTTTCTCCTGTCCATTTTAAAGCAAATAAAACCCAAAACAAGAGGTCTCTAAATTTTTTTTAAGTTACTGTTACAAAAGTAATACAAAAGTAATAGAGGAGCTAAACTCATCCCTAGTGGCATCATCACCCAGGAGCAACCATAACGAACAATTTGGTATACTTCTAATGGTTTTAAATAAATGTGTAAATAATGTAAATACATACCTTCACATTTTTAACAATATTGGGTTTATGACAGAATGCAATATTTATCACTGTCCTTTGAGTATTTTACATTTTTTTAAGGATTTTATTTATTTATTCATGAGAGACACAGAAAGGGAGACAGAGACACAGGCAGAGGGAGAAGCAGGCTCCATGCAGGGAGTCCAATGTGGGACTCGATCCCAGGACTCTGGGATCACACCCTGAGCCGAAGGCAGACGCTCAACCGCTGAGCCACCAGGCATCCTGAGTAGTTTACTACATTATTTAAAGCTCTTAAATGATTTCAGTGGCTGCATTAGAACCCATTGTATATGGATGTGTTGTTATGTTAGCATTCCTCCTGTTGTTGTCAGGTCGTTTGGGGATTCTGAACTGTTGCTTGAAATCTCAACATGGAACTCATTAGATCAATTTCTTCGGGTTTCATGGGTCTAGAGTTAGGATCTGGGCATAGCAGAAATGGAATACTTCTATCTGCACCATTGTTTGCTTTCTTTGCCAGCATTTTCCAAAAGGCATTTCGAAAAATCAGGGTTAGAGCAGAGTTCATTTCTTGTTCCCGTTTCTTTTTTATTTTCAATTCCGTGATTGTAATACAGCTTATGGCAGTGATCTCGGTTAACTTTTATTTATTTTTTTTTTTCTTAGAGAGGGGAGAAGGAGAGAGAATCTTAAAGAGGCTCCATGCCCAGCACAGGGCTCCATACAGGGCTTGATCCCACGACCCTGAGATTCATGACCTGAGCCGAAATCAAGAGCTGAATGGTTAACCGACTGAGCGACCCAGGTGTCCCTCAATTAACTTTTAAATAAAAGATCCGTATAAAGTAAGAAATACGGTGCCCAACATGAACCCTATGTTTCCAAACCGTGTGCCATGCTATGTCACCTGAAGGTTATCTGCTTGGACAGTGGGAGAGAGGGAAGACATTTTTTAAGAGGGGAGCTGACCAGATCAGATTTATATTTGCAAGACTGAAATACCTCCCAAGGGTTCCCATGAACTAATCCTTTAAAAATGTGAACGCTTGGTACAATAGCAACTACTCTGAAAGTTCAGTTGAGTGAATGAAAGTGTTAAGCCAACATTTGGAAATGATGGTTTGTGAGGGGCTATGGAGCCATAACCCACTAGGAGGCCATTGGTGTTTAAAGGCCACCTTCCTAAAAATATCATGTTCTTTGAGTACCAATTTTGTCTCCCTTGAGACTGTCGGGTCTGTAGACCTGCCCTGGGTTCCCGTCCCCAGGCACATCTGTGGGTGTGCGATCCTCTCAGCACCGGGTGGCAGGGCTGGGCAGCCACCACCACCATTCATGGGCTGCCTCTCCCCCGCACCCCCTCAGATCCACTCTCTCCATTGGCAGCCATCTTTATAAACAGATGTCTAAGATTTAGTGTTGTACATACTTTTAAATGATCCACTTTGATGGGGCTCTCTTTATTGTTTCAGGTTGAATGCGTTTGGGAACTTGATGCATAAAATTTGCATGACTCCTAACTTCTTTCTGGACCTGTCATTGGATTGCAGCCAGCATGGCACACATCACAAAGGTTAACGGCTGTGCCTCAGGTAACTCTGTGGTCTGTGGTGTGTGTGTGTGTGTGTGTGTGTGTGTGTGTGTGTGTGTGTGTGTGTGAACGAGCAAGTGTATGCCTTTGCTCAACCTGATTTCTAATTTCTTTTTTGAATAATGGGTATACATGAGCGAGTTGCCTAGATAACTAGGCTTTCAAAGATTTTCTATCCATTGAAGCTGGGTTTGTGCTTTTTTCTTGTTTTTAAATCTCTTGGAGAATTTGCTTTTATCTTTAGAGTCTTTATGTACAGGAATCAGTTAGGTAAATTATTACCCCAGTCAGTTCTATTGAAGTGTTGAAAGATAAATGTAAGATCCTGAATGCTGATCCAAGTGTAATGCGTACTCCTCTCTTCCTTCTTGATGAGAGATTGAGCAACGAGAGGGGAAATGAGTCCGGATGCTTCAAGCCAGTTCCTAGTATCCACTCCCGGGCAGCTTTTGTGTCATGTTGCCACACAAAGAGAAAGAGGGGCTAGGGAAGAGCATAGTATTTGAAGTCACTTTCCCGGAGAAGAATCAACAAGCCATATCGTGAATCATAAAGACTTTGTTCTTAGTTCTACTCTGGTTACATGAGAGACCTGTGTAGTTTTCATATCTCCTCCAACATTGCTTATACAAGATTTGGGAGAAATTTATAGAACAAAAGCATAGAAAAGCCTCTCAAGAGATGGTATATGGCGGGAGACCACCACCTGTCCAAAATAGCATGCCAGGTGTATATTCCAGTCTTGGGTGACCTGTCAAAGAGCAGAATGTGCGACAGCAGTGATTGTGTGTGTGGGAGCTCTTGTGTGGTGGCTAAACCCAGTCCTGGCTCTCCTGGTCTGAGCACATTCTGCCCTGAATGAGAGGCCCATCTGCAGCACTGACCATGAAATATGGGGCAGGACTATTTCTCCACCTGTAAAACGTCAGTAAATACATCTACCTGGAGGGTTAGGACCACATGAGGGCCAGAAATGGACTTACAAGTGCCCTGTAAGCTGGAAAGCTCTGGTAAAGACAGGAGCAGCAGGAGCCCTCTGAAGGGTGCATACCCAACCTGTCTGTGACTTTCTGTTGCAGCAATCCCAGCTGCAAGCATCCCCTCTGGTGAGAACACTGTAGCTTGCCCCAGACCAAACCCAACCAGACTTGGTTGTGCATTCTGGGACAACCGATCTTTCTCTGTTTATTCTTTCACTTGCCCTTTCTACTGCCCAGCTTCTAGGGACTTTTATAGATTGTGCTCAGGACTGCTGTCACTAAGAAAATATGAATGACAAAAGCTAACATTTAATGCACACTTACTGTGTACCATGGTGGCCTAGATGCCTTGCCTGCATTATCCTGCTTAATCCTTATGGTAATCCTAGGAGATTATATGGTTACCACCACCACCATCCCTAGGTGATGGCAGAGAAACTCAGTCACTTACCTAAATAAATCAAGTCAGAATTATTCCTTGGTTCTCTAGTGAAGTATTTGATAAGGGAGGAAATTGAAGCATTGTGAACTTTCTTGAGTGTTGTGGGTGAGTTTCAGTCCCCTGTGATGGATGCTCTCCCATCCCACTCCTGCCCTCACTTGAATTCACACGTTCAGAGAAAGGGGGCCTGCCTGGAACTGTTGGGGCCCTCAGACCTTGACCCTCTGGCCTCTCTGGCACATTCCTGTCTTCAAGGGTTTAGATACCTACCTCATTTGTCCTGAGCTCCTTTTCAACTCCACTTGTCCTAGAGTGTACCCTTTGTTCTTAAAGTCTGATGACCGAGCTATCACCTTTCCCCCTGCCTAACAGGTCTGGGCACTGAGTTTGGAAGCGAGGAGATGCTCTCTGATTAGTGAATGCTGGGGTGTCAGGAGATGAATGGTTCCTGCAGACAGGTGTCTGGACCAGGCAAGGGACAGTAGTATTTATTCTAGTCACCATGACCTCCATAAGCAATCTGATGAGAGGCTCAGCCATACGCAATTACTTTAGTTATACATACACACTTATACACATACACACACACACACACATATGCATGTGTATATATACATATATGTGATGCTCATTTTAGAAAATTTTAAAATATGGGACACCTGGGTGGCTCAGCAGTTGAGCATCTGCCTTTGGCTCAGGGCATGATCCTGGGGTCCTGGGATCGAGTCCCGCATAGGGCTCCCCACAGGGAGCCTGCTTCTCCCTCTGCCTGTATCTCTGCCTCTCTCTCTCTCTGTCTCTCATGAATAAATGGATATAATCTTTAAAGAAAAAGAAAAGAAATACACTTCCCTAGTACATGGCCAGTACTATGGAGTGCCTCCAGGGCATCGGGCACGGTTCTGGGTGCTGGGGATCCAGCAGTGAACAAATGAGCAAAAACTCCCACCTTTGAGGACCTTGCATTGTAGTCGAATCAGAGGGTTTCTGTGGACAGAGCATCCGGATTAAATAGAGGACGGATTTATACTAAAAAAATACACACTGGGTATTCGAAATTCAAGTTTAGCTGGGTGTCCTCTCTTCTTATTCACTGCACCTGGGAACCTCACCTGGGCACCTGTCCCCTGTTCCTCTTCCTCCTCACTGTCCACACCGTCAGTGTCAATCATTTGTCTTTGTGTTGCCTATCTTCCACAAGATCTCCATCCCACTTCAGGTGACTGATCCAGTTTTGTTTTCATGAATTGCACACACTTTACCAGGGTTTGACAAAGAGTCCCCTACTGTCATTTGTTAATGTGATGAGGTACAAGCATTACAGATTGTCCCCTTTCTGTGGCTTCCTAGGAACTACATGGGTGTTGTTGGTGAAGAAAATAGCTGTATTTCTGCTTCGGGGAGGGGGATGGTCTGCTGCCTCTTGGTTTTCTGAATCGTGTTGCAAACTGGATGCACTGTTTACCTCTGTAAACACTAATTAATGTTGTGAAATGTTAATTAGAGCTTTGGATCCTTTAGAAGCTAAATAACAAGTGGTTTATTTGTCAGACGAAGATAAAATACCTACCCCACCTTCTTCACAGGAGTGTTGTGAGGGAAAAATAAAACAATAGCCAGAAAAACACTTCTTATGATGTAAGGCTGGTCAGATGTCAGGAATTACCGCCCCTCTTGTTCTGCTAGCTCTGTCCTGAGTTCTTGGTCTGAAAAGCACCTGTTTATGCACCCCTGTGCCAGGCCCTGTCAGATACTGTGACTTTGAGGTAAGAATTGTATTACAGTTGAATAAATAAATCAGTATTAAGGAGTAACCTTTTATGCATACTATCACCAGCCTTATTTTTGCTAATATTTGCCTTTGGTAGTTTATCATGTTTTTTTCCCCCCTTGCTATTTTTGCTTTTACAGCCTATATATATATATTTTTTTCAAGGGCATCTATATATGTTATATATATAATATATAGTATATAATACAGATTTAAGCATATATATTATATATATTACATATTGTATTTATATTTTTATTTTTATATGTTATATAATTATAATATCTTTTCCAGATAGCTATATATTTTCTTACTTAGGGTACTTATTGAACTGTGTTAAAAATTTGGTTGTCATTTTAAATTCATATAATACATCTCACAAAGTCTTATCGTTACTCTGGTCAGTTATTTGGCTCCAGGTTCTGTCTCCATGCTGATCTTAAATGAGGTACAAAGGCCACTGATAAGACCTGGTCAGACAGAGCCACAGACTCCTGGCCGAGCAAGTAGAAAACACTGCCATGCTGTGCAGTCCACTCAGTTGTGTAAATATTTTTCCTGGGCAGCAGCATTTCTCAAACAGAACTCTGAGCCCACGGCCAGCCGAGAAGCCAACAGCAGGAATTGCCTGCTGTTTGTCAAGTGCAAGACCAGTTTGCCCTGACTGGTCTGGCTGGAACCGCCCCGGGGTTTTCTGAGACCATCTGTAAAGAAAATCCCAGCCTGGCAGAGGTGGTGTATCTGTGCTGGTGAGTCTTAGGCCTGTTGTCTCCATTAGCCTTACTCGAGAGGCAGAAGGGGAGCTGATGAGAAGCCGAGGCTGCTTTAATTTGTGAGTACCATCCGTGACCTTCCAGGGTGTCCTGCAAAAGTCTGCCAAAGGATTAAATGTGTGTTCCTATCTGTGTTTTGCATTCCCCTGTAAGTGGTGTGTTCAGTGGTGCATCAGAAGAGCTGAGGCTACAACAAAGTTTCCTGACATAAAAACAGGGGGAAGCGCTACCGGGGGTCCTTATGATTCACCTGTCCCTACTTTCAGATCACAAAACACAAGTTGCCCAGCTCACCCAGATAGCTAATGGCTAAGCCAGACATTGAACACAGATAGCCTTTTTCCTTTGTTTGGCACATTCCGTTGATGTCAAAAAACAAAAGTGTGGTGTCTGTGAAGTCCTTATTAAATAGATCAAGGGGAAAGTAGGTATTTCAGGAAACTACATGAAACCCAAAAGTAAAACAGTTGTGAGTAAAATGTCCTCCCTGATAGAGGTTATGTTGGTAAGTTATTTTCTTCTTAGAGTGAATTATCTCATAGAGACAAATTGATAAGCATAGCAGTATTTAGTACATCATGCAGCTTCATCCTTTTACTTGGTATGTTTAATAATCGGATTTCAATTAGACTATGCCTTTCAACTTTATATGAAACTTAGTTTTTTGTTTATTAAAGGCTCATTTCACACTGAAGTTTACAAATAAAATCATTATTTTCTTATAGCAATGGTGTTTCAGAAGACAGTTATTTTTTTAAGTTATTAGTTGCATTTGAGTTTCATAGCTGGTAAAATGCCAAGACCACCTACACACACCTGGATTTCAGAGTCTTGCCTTTCTGATTGAATCAGAACCCCAGAATTCATCCAGCCCCCAGAGACATTCTGAAGAGTCCCTCCCTCGTCGGGGCTTGCTTAGTTTACACACTCTTAAGGCTTCCGTTTTAACCAGTAGCCAGCTTCGCCTTCCAAAGCTTTGTTGCTCCAGACCGTGAGCGAGTCCTAATGGGTTAAGCATCATTCAAATTTCAGAGA